TCAGGTGGAAGGTGGTTTTGGTGAGCGTCTCCCCTCGATTGATACCCGACCACCTCGAGTTCGTGATTCAGATGCAATCATTGAGGTACTAATCAAAGCCATGCTGATCCTATTGTTGGGTGTTCTTATTGTGTTTTTGGATATGCAATATAAGTTAACTTCTTGCTATTCTGTAAACAGATTGTCTTGCAGGACTCTTTAGATGATGATTCCTCTGCAGGAAATGGTATCCCAGACGGAGCTGAAAATGATCGCCCAAGAGAGGGTTTTGGTAGAGGTGAAGGAGACCTCCCACAGGTTGAGAGCGAGTATTTTGATGGCTCTCCCCAGGCTTATAACGATCAAAAGGTTGGAAGAAAAATGCCTTTCCATGATAACATACCAGAAGAAGGAAACTTACCCTCCCCTCCTGAAGTGGCAGTCCCATATACTGGTTCTGGGGGTGAGACTCCTAGTTATCAGGAAAGGTAATAAGATATTTTTTTGGTTTGTCATGTTGAACATTAGCACCCGTATAGAATTCTGCGATAGGATTATTTTTGAGAATAAGATGACCTTGCAACATACTGAATTACTGAATATTCTGGACCAGAGAATACCAATTCTGCCACCAACTATAAGAGCACCTATCACCTTTTATTGTAGTCACAAAATTAAAGTCTTTATAATCAATAGGACGTTCTCTCCGTTTGTAGTCAAATCTGGGACCCAAATAACAATATATTCTTGGAAATACATGGATGCACTACTTCATATTATAAGATTTTATGGGGTTGAGAGCCATACAACAAACTTGATTTTTAACAGCTTTCGAGTCCAACTCCATGAATGCCTTTTAACTCTGTCCTTATGGATACAGGAAAACACAACGAAGAGCATGTGACAGATCTCCTCATGTGACTCCTAGTCGAAATATAGGGGATAAGAAATGCCTTGAAAATCAGAAGGAAGAATCGATTGAAAGCATGGATGGTAAACATAGTCCAGGGATATCATCACCCGTCACAAATAGAGCTGCCCGGGAGTCAAGTGCTGATTATAGAGATAGTGACCAAGATGAGCCTGTTCTGGCTGATGGAAGCTCTGAAATGGGAAAGGAGGAAACATCTACTGTTGCTGAAATGATGCCTTGCAAGATGGGGCTCCAAAGCATAAACGATTAGTTTCAAGAGTTGAACAGTCTGCTGACGAAGAACTTGATGATGGTGAGGACTCAAAAGCTGCAAAAAGTAGTGACAACAGCAAAGCAAGATCAGGAAGCAGCAGGGATTATCCGAAGTGGAGGGATGGGGTTGAAGAGGAAGTCATTCAAGGACGTTCAACACATATGGGGGGCATCAAGAGGCACCTTGATGAAAATGAAAAGGGGTTCCAGAGGAAAAACCGTGATGGTAGACAGGAACCAGATAGAAGTCACATGGTAGTTAAAGGGAGGGAGGGCTCTTATCCTTATAGGGACTGGGATCCTAGCTCTGCACATCAGTTGCAATTGAAAAATGATGGCCTTCATGGGCGAAAGGAGAGGGACAATCTTGATGTACCGTGGCAACGGAGAGAAAATGATCCTTGTAGCAGAAGGATCAGGCCTGAAGAAACAAGGAAGAGAGAACGTAGTGATGAAATGGGATCTAGGCACAGGAGTAAGGTTCGAGAAGGTGACAGGAACGACAAAGACGAACATCTGCAGTCAAGAAAACAAGTGGACAATGGTAGCTATAGGGTTTATCATGATAAGGATGTCGGTTCACGACCCAGGGAAAGGGAAGGTAGTTTGAAGGCCAGGTATGAACATGTGGAAGATTACCATGGCAAGAGAAGGAAAGATGAGGAATATATGAAGAGAGACCATATAGATAAAGAAGATTTTTTGCATGGGCACAGAGATAATAGCACTCGCAGAAAGCGTGAAAGGGATGAAATTCTGGATCAGCGTAAGAGAGATGAGCAACAAAGAGTAAGAGAAAATCTTGATGATCTGCACCCTGCTAGGCACAAAGATGATGGCTGGTCACATAGGGAGAGAGGTGACAGGCAAAGAGAGAAGGAGGAGTGGCATAGGGTCAAACAATCCCAGGAGGAAAATATACCCAAGCGTGAAAGAGATGAAGGACGAGTTGCTATAAGGGGTGGGCGTGGTGCAGAAGACAAAGCATGGGTAGGCCATACTAGGGCAAAGGATGAGAACAAGGGCGCTGATAAGGAGCACCAATATAAAGAGACTGCAAGGCACAGTGAACCATCTAAAAGGAGGGATAGGGTTGAGGAAGAAAGCTCACATCGTAGGGGACGTGAAGATGTTCATGGACGTGGAAATCAAATAAATAATGATGAGAAAAGATCCGGAAAGGAGAGATCAAGTACTCGTAATGAGCGTGCGGACAGCCAAAAGGTCCATGACAGAAAACATAAAGAAAATTCAAGGAAGAGTAAAGAATCTGAGATTGCTAATAACAGCACCACTTCCAAGAGACATCAAGAAGATCAAAGTGGTCATAATAAGGAGATGGTATGTTCTTGACATCAGTTCTCTTGGTCTGGTTTTTCCCTTTTAATTCCTGTATTGTTTATCTTCCCTTGAAAAATAATGTATATAGGGTGCAATGCAAGCTTGATTTTGAAGTTTTTGTCAAATCCCAATTCTTTTTCTTTGTTATACCTATAAAATTAAATAGATTTTTTATTCTGAGCATCTGCAAACTTTGACTTTCACTGGTTTGGTTCCTTTCTCTTTCATCTTTCTGGATTGTGGATTCATCTTTCCATTTCCTCTTTTCCTTGCAAGAGCTAAAATCAGAAGATTGTGTTCATATCTTCTTCTATTAGTGGCAGCTTCTGTGGGCGGTATTTTCACACGAATAATGGGTATTGGCACGGTCAGGAATGATCGCATATTCAATGATTTGGTACACTTTGCTGAGACCAGTAGTAATGTTTTATCTGTATTTGGGTTAGCCCCATGCTTTGAGGTTTGTGCTTCAATCAGTGTATGGTCGTCATCATATGGAGGAATATGGCTTACACGCATCATGCGGCATTCTGCAGTTAGATTAAAGCACTAACAAATAGCATGGCATTTGTAGTTATTAGTTGACAATTTATCTCTTAATCCTGGAATTTTGATGCAGAATTGTTCTTGTTATTCGTCATCACTTTTTTGTCCTTTGTACTTGACCCTAGCTGATTAATGTAGAATGTTTCCTCTCTTTTGCCCCTCTAGGGCTTGAAAGGCACCCGTGTGCAAGGAACTGGTGAGGAAATCCCACCGCAGCGTCACTCTTCCAAAAGGCATAAGGAAGATGTTTCCTCTGATGATGAACAACAGGATTTGAAAAGGGGGCGCTCCAAATTGGAGCGCTGGACAAGCCATAAGGAGAGGGATTTCAGTATCAACAGTAAATCATCTTTGAAGCTCAAAGAGCTTGATAGGATCAACAACCGAGGATCCTCAGATGCCAAGAAAGTTCCAGAGGAACTCAAAGAGCTTGATAGGATCAACAACAGAGGATCCGCAGATGCCAGTAAAGTTCGAGAGGAATCTTCCAAGCCAGTTGAGGCTGTTGATAATCAACATTCAATGGCCGAGGAGAAAGATGCCGGTGATCAGGAGGATATCAAGGATGCAGACACAAAACCATTGGAGGAGCGACACCTGGACACAGTCGAGAAGTTGAAGAAAAGAAGTGAGCGTTTCAAGCGTCCGATGCCAAGTGAAAAAGAGCCAGCGGCAATCAAAAAGGTGGAGAGTGATGTGCCGCCTTCCACCATTAGCGAGACTCAGACTCAGACTCAGACTCAGACTCCTGTGGAGTCAGAGATCAAACCAGAACGGCCAGCTAGGAAAAGAAGGTGGATCAGCAACTGAATCCGAAAATATGGAACTTAAGGTTAGCTGGCTGAATCTCTGTCGTTTGGGAGAAGTTATGCTGGGCCTAATTATAAAATTCAAACTTCCGGGCGGTGCAATCATTCAACTTGTTTTTGCAATCGTAGAATCCCATATACATCTGCTCTGCAGTAGTTACATAATTTTGTAACCATGCTCCATGCTGCCCCAGCATACTTATAATGTTTTCGTTTGTATATACTGGCGATTGTAACATTGAACTGGCCATTGATGGTGGCGCAGGATTGCTTTGAGCAACTATTTGTAATGTTGTTGCTCAGGTTTGATGTGGCATGCTTTGAGGGTCGTCTACCGGACCTGAAAATGCTGTTTATGGGATCTGTGTAGGAGCCGGGTGCCATCGGAAGCAATGCAAGAGTACTGGTGTAGCTTCACGGATGAAGATAACAAGATTGAAGAACCGATGAGCGAAAAGAGAAGGATTTCCACCATCGTTGGAGATGTTAGAACTTATATCTATATATACAGTAAATTGATTAGCGTATCTTGAATTCTTGATCGAGTTCTTATTTTTCACCCATTTTTACTTTTCTTTTTGGTTTAAAGATAAGAAAACTGGTGGTAATTTTGGAATGAGTGTTAGAAAGATCGGATTACTAGAAAGTTGAATGTAACAACACACAAATGGAATAGTTAACTGTTTATTAGTTGTTCCATAAATCTCTTCATCTGTTCCAACTAACATATATATTGAAGATAACCGTAAGCGGGTTGCAGCTCAAGTAAATAAAATCATTTGCCTCTGCACCGAGATCTTGTGAATTTAGCTACTCTCGAAATTTTATTGTGACGACATTTCAAATTAATAATGGAGCGGAGAGTGGACTTTCATGTATTGCCTGCCCCTCAAGTACAAAAAACTTGAACAGAGTCAAGCTACAAAATTCCCCAAAGTATATTGACCCAACTTTACAACAACCAAAAAGTAAATTCCTTTGTGCTACCTAAATTTCTAATCTAATAAATTACGGGAATGAAATTTAAATTTGAGTACAAAGAAAGAACATGTTATTCTAAGAACATATTACTTTCACGAACTTAATTAAGTTCGTATCTTAAAAATAAAAAAATTTGGTCACAAAACATCACGAAAGGCATGTATTATACGATTTGATGCGGGCGTTGTACGATTTGATGGCAGGGTCCACCAAAGCATGATCCCCCGTTCAGATTGGAAATTCGAAAGCTTGAGGACGATGAATGATAATGATTAATACCAGACGTGCTCAATATTGGACCAGCAATCGACAAACTCAAACAGTAGCATCTGCACGGCAGTCAGCACCCTCATCACACAATATTTTACTCTGCGTGTACACGCGGAGTAGAAGTATCTGACACTCCTAAACACCGTAAAATTTTTTATGCTGCAATTTATATAGCATGCTCTTATTTTTATTTTTACGTACATTTTTTTATTTTTGTATGGTAAAAATGGGTGGGTGGAGTCACCAGATAGACAAGCTGAGAGATATCAGTGATAGATGCAGTGAGATTTTGTGCCTCTCTCTCTCTCTCTCTCTCTCTCTCTCTCTCTCTCTCTCTCTCTAAACAATGGAGAAAAAACCCACTTGGGTTCTTACACTGGTGACGCAGGTGAGTCTGTGCTTTTGTCTCTACCTTGCTTTTCAGCTGGGTCAGCCTTGGAGCTCTGTCCGCCATGGCAGAAGTGAGAGAAGGCCGCTGGATCTTTACTTCATCAGTGTCGGAGGAGGATTCCGGCCTCCCACCCGACAGACCCATCTTCTCAAGCAGGTCACTTTCTTACTTTGCTTATAGGAATTTCAACGCTCGTTGTTGGGAAATACGCATAAATCGAACTTGTTACGAGTCGCATATAAAAATCAAAACTTTTTCGATAAAGGAGCACTAAAATGTGTTTTATTGATGTCCCTTCACTGGAAAATTGTCATTTTTTATTGAAGATTTTGTAAAAAGTTCGTATATTATAATTCGATTTCATTGGTCACAATTTTTGGAGTATATTTTTATGAGTTGAGATCTTCTGCACCAATTTTTGCATGTGACCTCTCTGTGTCTTTGTTAATTGAACTAAACATAATTAATGTTAATTTGACAATAATTAAAATAATAAAAAATCAACCAAATCCTCAGCCAATTAACAAAGGCGCAGAGGAGTTACAGGCAAAAATGGGTGCAGAAGATCTGCTCTCTATTTTTATAATGCAAGGATCTTTTTCTAATTGTTAGAAAATATGAGGATATTTGGAAGGAAATGAAACTTCCTAGCTCAATAGCTTGGTGTAAAACCGAACTCAGTGGTGTTTTATGATTCATACAATTAACCCCACATAGTAGGATAACACTTTATTGTTGTTATTGAATAGTTTGGCTAAGTATTGATGTATGTGATTCAAAACTGTGTTTGTTCAGCAACCAAAAGTAGAAGAATGTTTAATCTGTTTCTGTGGGAGTAGATACTATGTTGTTTTTCGTTTTACAGTAAATACTATGTTATTGTTTGCTGAGGAATCTTGTTTTCACCTTTCTCTTTGGTCTAATGCCACTATCCATCTGTCAAATGCTAGAAGCACATCTACTTGTTCATGTGTAGGCAGTGGCTTACCGGTTCTAATTTTTCGTTTGCTATGTGCCGATGGGGTCCAAGATTTAAGGCTTTCGGTAGAAATGAGTTGTCGGGTTTGGTTATTAGTATTAACCTTTTGTTTTGTGTTTCTTTAAGCGCAAAGAATAGGGGACTGATGGTGAAAAGAATTTAAGGCTTTCGGTAGAAATGAGTTGTCGGGTTTGATTCTTAGTATTAACCTTTGGTTTTGGTTTTGGTTTTGTGTTTAATTGTGGTTCTTCCTGTTGGTGAAGATGGAGAAGGTGGCAAAGAAGTACAAGGCAGAGTTTGTGGTGGACGTTAGCGATCTTGGGGAAGATGATCCGCTCATGCAGAATGTAAGGTTGTTTTTCTCTTCACATGACTTCTGTTCTGCAAAGCCTTTTTTCGGAATTATTGAAGTGTGAAACTGTTAACGTGAATGACAGATCTCGTAGGAAACTGTTACACGAATGGATAAAGTTGATAGATTGACATCGTGTAGCGATTGATAAAATGGGTAAGAATTTGTTCCTTTCTTCGGCTTTAACTGTTGCTAACAATGCTGGATATATTCGCTTTACAGGGCACCCTCCATTTCTCGACACTGAAAGTTCCCTGGTATGCTGTCCTCTAGGCAATACTTTTACGTAATGCTGCTATTACTACATCTCAAATTCAGCTGTGCTGTTTGCACCATTGTTTTCAGTTTTCTGGTTAAATTGCACTTGCAGGTACACAACCAGAGTTTCGGAAGGAAAAGGAGGAGGTTACTTCCAGAAGAAGATTAAGTTACCTTACGAGAAAACCTTGGATGTCATTGTGGTGGATACTGGATTATTTCAGGTATGTTCTAATTTGTTTTTCGATTTGATCTATGCGATCATGTTTCACTTTTAGCTTTCGATTGTTTGCCTGCCTAATAACTCACTAGGTCCTTTGATGTTGAATTTTTTTAACGTGAAGAATTTGACCACGGGTTTCGGACAACCAATTCGGGTTCATGCCAGGGCGCTCAACCATGGAGGCAATCTATCTCTTACGAAGATTGATGGAAAGATATAGAGATGGGAAAAAGGATTTACACATGGTCTTTATAGATTTGGAAAAAGCGTATGATAGGGTCCCAAGAGACATTCTTTGGAGGATTTTAGAGAAGAAAGGAGTACGAGTAGCATATATCCAAGCTATAAAGGATATGTATGAAGGAGCAAAGACTGCCGTAAGAACTCATGAAGGACAAACCGAAAGCTTTCCCATAACTGTAGGATTACATCAAGGCTCATCCTTAAGTCCTTACCTTTTTGCGTTGGTAATGGATGAGTTAACAGGACATATTCAAGATGATATTCCTTGGTGTATGCTTTTCGCAGACGATATAGTGTTGATAGATGAAACTCAGGAAGGGGTAAATGCAAAGCTTAACCTTTGGAGAGAAGTGTTGGAATCTAAAGGTCTTCGCCTAAGCCGATCAAAGACAGAATATATGGAGTGCAAGTTCAGTGCAAATGGAGGCCAAAACGAGTTAGGGGTGAGGATCGGAGATCAAGAAATACCAAAGAGCGACCGTTTTCGTTACCTAGGATCTATCTTGCAAAAGAACGGAGAATTAGATGGAGATCTCAACCATAGAATACAAGCTGGATGGATGAAGTGGAAGAGTGCATCCGGCGTGTTGTGTGACCGCCGTATGCCACTGAAGCTCAAGGGAAAATTTTATAGGACGGCAATAAGGCCGGCGATGCTGTATGGCACAGAATGTTGGGCGGTGAAACATCAACACGTATACAAAATGGGTGTAGCGGAGATGAGGATGCTTCGTTGGATGTGTGGGCACACGAGAAAGGATAAGATTAGGAATGAGGATATCCGGGGTAAAGTAGGAGTAGCCGAAATTGAAGGAAAGATGAGAGAAAATCGGTTACGATGGTTTGGACATGTGCAAAGAAGGCCTACTGACGCTCCGATTAGAAGATGCGACTATGGGACAGAGGTTCAGGGCCGAAGGGGTAGAGGAAGACCTAGGAAAACTTTGGAAGAGACTCTAAGAAAAGACTTAGAGTACTTGGATCTAACGAAGGACATGACACAGGGATCGAGCACAATGGCGTTCTAAGATTCATATAGCCGATCCCACTCAGTGACTTGGATTTTCCAAGTCTCCAACCAAGAAGTTTTCCTCACTCGGGAAATTAAGGGAACACTACCCCAACCTACATGCTCCACTCAGAAAAGCTTCAACATACAAGCTTCAACAAAAGAAAATTCAAAGAACTTAGCGAAGAAGGCTTTGGTGTATTTAACACAATACGTTGAAATGAAGGAAAGCTTATTTATTGATATCCCCGATAAGCTACAAATATGTACATATACATGAGTCAAAATAAACAAACACAAGAGGGAGCCTTCACAAAGGTTGCTTAGGAGAAGTCTCAGCAGTCGGTAGAGCCCCAGAAAGAGAAGGCACCGGAGGGGGATCATTTGGAGCCTCAGTACTGGACAGAACCCTAGAAGGAGGAGGCATCAGAGGGTGATCATTTGGAGCTTCATTACGCGGTACAGCCCCAGAAGACGAAGGCAATAAATGCCTTTGGAACAAACCCACAAATCTCTGATGATCAAGTAAAACCTGACCATCAGTTTCCTTCATCTGGTCAAGCTTCCTCTTCATGTTTGTAGCATAGTCATGTGCGAGCCGGTGCAACTGTTTATTCTCATGCTTGAGCCCTCTAATCTCCTGTTTGAGACTCATCACTTCAGCCGCCAATGATTCAACTTGGCGGGTTCGAGCAAATAGGCGTTGGGCCATATTAGACACAGAACCTGCACACTGAACACTGAGAGCCAGCGAATCCTTAACAGCTAACTCATCAGACCGTTTGGAAAGTAGTCTGTTATCTTTGGGAGTGAGAAGGTTCCTGGCCACCACCGCAGCGGTCATATCATTCTTCATCACGGAATCCCCAACGGTAAGAGGACCAGTTGGGGGAGACGAAGGATGGGCGCCATATGTTGTCTGGAGAAGGCGGGGCTGCCTCTTCAACAAGGTTCAAGTCAAAACGACGGTCGGAGGGGCCAGACATTTTCAAAGGTGTTGAAGAGAGAAGAGGTCGGACAAATCAAGATCTTAGAAGTGCAAGAATGAAGCTTCTACTGGTGGAGATTCAAGTGTGCTTTGGAACTTAATGCCAGCCTCTATAAAAATCTGCACTCGACGGAGCTTCAGAAATTAAAGAGGCGCCTGCTCAGAAATCGAAGAGGCGTTTGCTTTCTCAAAAGCTGGGCTGCTTAGAGATCACGAGGGTTGATCTCAGAAATCGAAGAGCCGTTTGCTTTCTCAAAAGTTGGGCTGCTCAAAGACCACGAAGGCCGATCTCAGAAATCGAAGAGGCGCTCGCTTTCTCAAAAGCTGGGCTCCCTCAGAGACCACGAGGGCCGATCTCAGAAATCGAAGAGGCACCTACTTTTTCCAGCCTTGTCAGCACCTGTCACACGCACACTCAGCTTTGCGGAAATTATGGGCATTCTGTCAAAGACTTCTGGGGAAGTAGAAAACACATGAATCTTACTGTTCAATCACCCACTTCCCACACGCAACAATAGCTCATGGGTACCACAGATAACTTTGCCAAAGTTCTCTGCCAAAGTTGAGCACGTGAAGCTTGCAGCTCCCACTACATCGCTCTGACCAAGAAGGGTAAAGAATAGCAAAGAAACAGCACTAACAAAGTTTAGACCCATAAATTTTGAAGGTCTAGCTACCATATTATTACCCACAAGGGTAAAGGAACAGTACCACTGCTGGATAATTGGAAAGTCCATGTGTGTCAACCTCTGTGCTTCGTGGCAAGGTAGACTAGCAAACATGCCCAACCTTTACTCACATTCGAGAAAACACTCCCAACAAGATTGCTTGCTCCAAAATCGAAGAGGCACCGCCTTCCGAATCTCGAGAGCCAGACTCCCAACATGATTACTTCCTCAAAAATCGAAGAGACACTGCTCTCCGAATCTCGAGAGTCCAGACCCCCAGCATGATTGCTTTCTCAAAAATCGAAGAGGCATCGTTCTCCGAATCTCGAGAGCCAGATACCACAGACCACTTTTTCAAAGTGCTCTGACAGAGTTAAAACATGTGAAGCTGGCAGCTCCCACTACCGTGCTATGACCAAGCAGGGTAAAGGAATAGCATTACTACTTGTTGTTAGGGAGACTCCTATATATGTCGACCTCCATCCCCAACGGACAGGCAGACCTGCAAAAATGCTCAACCCTTCATCATATCTGAGAGGGCACTCCCAACAAAGCCTTTCGAAATATTCAGCTTTCTTTCCCCCCGATAATACCTCTGCAAACAAGCTATACTAGAGCAAGAATATCTCATATCATCAGGGTTAAAAGCAAGAGTATCCCATATCATGCTTTTTCCCTGTTTTTTCTTTTGGCCTTGTTTTTTACCTGCAAGACAAGGAGAAAGAGAGCAATCAGTCAGCACTTGGAATCAAGCTTCCAGCCAGGAACTGACTGCCTGGAACCCCTTACCTGATTACTTACCTGGCATTGCTCTCGAGTACTCATCTTCAACATCTTATGTTTCCAGGGAAGATTTCGCATCTGCTTGAGGAACAGATAGGGCAAGTGCGAAGGATACAAGGAAGCATGTGGAGACAAGCGTAACAGCACACGTGCCGATACATCCATTACTCTGTCAAAAGCAAAAGTATCCCATATCAGCAGGGTGGAACGTACTCTAGATTTGATGGACTTGTTTTGACCCTCAAATTCTTCAGTCGGCCTTATACTCTGGAGGAAACCAGAAAACCCTCCAGCTCAGTTCAAGAATAAGCCTGTGGAAAGTTACTTCTTCAAAAGCAAAAGTATCTCATATCATCTCTTCTCATTTTTCTTCTCTTTATCCTTCATGCTGCTGCAAGATGGGGAGAAGGTGAACAATCAGTCCGGAGCTCTGATTGCTTACCTTGTCTGTCACCTCTTTCAGCAGACCCCCTAGCTCGGCGACTTGGGGGACTCCTACTACATGGTTTGTATCGCGCTTGACCAAGCCTGAAACTACAAGTAAGCTTCAAGTGAAATTGATACATTACCTTGTGCATCTCCACCAGTTAAAGATACCACCCCTGGATGGAGGAAGAGTACTTCCAGAGAAGATGCCACATCTACCTATGAGACAGATAAGGCAAGTCAAGACGACACCACACTCCGATACTTAGAAGTTTCGTGATTACGAGATCATTCTCCCACAATATTTTCCTAATGTCATTTGTACTAAATCATTCACTTGTACTCACTAAAGGAGAGCTTGAACCTATGTACTTGTGTAAACCCTTCACAATTAATGAGAACTCTTCTATTCCGTGGACGTAGCCAATCTGGGTGAACCACGTACATCTTGTGTTTGCTTTCCTATCTCTATCCATTTATATACTTATCCACACTAATGACCGGAGCAATCTAGCGAAGATCACAAAAAGCGACCGTTTTCGCTTACCTAGGATCTATCTTGCAAGAGAAACGGAGAATTAGATGGAGATCTCAACCATAGAATACAAGCTGGATGGATGAAGTGTAAGAGTGCATCCGGCGTGTTGTGTGACCGTCGTAGGCCACTGAAGCTCAAGGGAAAATTTTATAGGACGGCAATAAGGCCAGCGATGTTGTATGGCAGAGAATGTTGGGTGGTGAAGCATCAACACGTACACAAAATGGGTGTAGCGGAGATGAGGATGCTTCGTGGGATGTGTGGGCACACGAGAAAGGATAAGATTGGGAATGAGGATATCCGAGGTAAAGTAGGAGTAGCCGAAATTGTAGGAAAGATGAGAGAAAATCGGCTCTGGTGATCCTGGACATGTGCAAAGAAGGCCGACTGACGCTCCGGTTCGAAGATGTGACTACGGGACAGAGGTTCAGGGCCGAAGGGGTAGAGGAAGACCTAGGAAAACTTTGGAAGAGACTCTAAGAAAAGACTTAGAGTACTTGGATCTAACGGAGGGCATGACACAAAACCGAGCGCAATGGCGTTCTAGGATTCATATAGCCGACCCCACTTAGTGGGAAAAGGCTTTGTTGTTGTTGTTGTTGTTGTTGTTGAAGAATTTGACCACGGGATCATTAAGCGAAGTTGGAAACGATCAGTTACGTTGGCTGAGAAGGACACTAGAGTCAACCAGTAGTAACTGGTAAACTTAATTAGTTGTATGGCCCTGCTATTTGTGATTAACATCTTCTGATCTTTAGTTTCTGTTTCTTACGTGCTAGCGATGTTGTAGAAACACAACGAAGCTTGAAGAAATTGTGAATGTTCATGAGTTGTATCGTTTATGTTTAGAAGTTACTGCTACACTGGCAATGTAGCTCTAGAATTTTAATCTTCCAATTGCTAACTCAGTGTATTTCCATATAGGCGCGTAGTCGTTGGATTCCATCCACTGGCTATTTGTGAAGATGGTGAGGAGAGAATGGAAGAAACGCAAGTTTTCGAGTCTCTACGAAGTACTATGACGAAATTTGAAGTGGTAGGAACTAAGAGTTCTATGTATTCACTGATACCTTGTTTCCGCACCAGTTCCAAGTAAATGCAAAATCCGTCTCCTAAGTCCTCACCCGTTCATGTCTTATATTCTCCAGAACGCATACTTAAGCGGGCAGGGTTGCGCTAACAGCCCCCGATCAAGTAGTCTGAGCTACATCAGGAACCCGGGCAAGATGGCAGCAGGTGCTCATCTTGCTTCCGTACATGAAACATCAGCATCTAGAAGGTGAGTCTCTTGGCTGATGCACAATGTACCCCCATACACACAACCCTTTATTGACTCCTTTTGCCCGGTTGTGCAGAAAATTGGAAGACGGGTTTTTTCTCATAGAGTGAGCTCATTAGAGATTGTGAGCATTCATCTCTTATGCTGTTAATCCTTGGCAATTTGTCCGTCGAGTTTGACATATTCATTCTTCCTTTGTTTCGGGTTGCAGGAAACCTACTTCGTTACATCAGCTGGAGAAGTTGTGCATAGATCTGTACTCCATCAGAGAGGAAAGGAGATCATGTAAATTGGATTGCATCACTCACTGTTGCTCCACTTCTTTTCAATCCTTCGTGTAAAACCAAAGGGCAAAATTTTGAGTCCCACCCACACCCAAGAGAAAGGGAAGTTTTTTCAATGTGCTTTGAACTTAGTATCCAACTAGAAATTTATACCCGTGCGTTGCTGCGGGATTGAAAATTGTATGAAAACTTATGAAACTTCATTCTTTCAATAACCAATGTTTGAGTCATAAATTGAGGGTTACAAATGCCAAAGTAAGCTGCGATCCTTAATTAATAAAAATATAGTAGCTCTTGGTAGCTATTGTTACCCTTTTGCAGCTCTTGATATGTAATACAAAGTGGGTTGTATTAGTTCAAATTAGATGGCCACAACCCGCAAAGATACAGTAGCTCTAGGCAGCTATTGTTACCTCTTTGCAGCAGCCTCCTTCTGTAGTACTCTCACTTTTTTTTTCCAAGCATTTCGAGCGTATGGCAAGCATTTATCAAAACTGATTTAGAGAGAAATTTAATTGTATCAACACAAAGAATACATAAAACACTATACAATGAAGAAACATTCCATGTTCCACCACCACCTCTCAAACTAAATTCTAAACTACGCACAAAACATTCCATGTTGTCAAATTTCCAACTATAGCAAAATGTATAGCCTTTGCATGTACACAAATCGGGTGAGCACATGGGAAGACTATATTTCAATTAAGTTATCTATATGGTGCAAAACAAAACTACTGTACATGTAACTTATGAACAACCGTATATGCAGCTTATCAAAATCCATTAAAATTGCTAACTGCATAAGTGCATGCATAATATTCAAGTGAAAAAACAAAAAGAGAAGAAAGATAAGCCCCAGTTTTATCAATTAACCAATCCTTGTTGTACTATAGTCAAAGAAGAACAATTGATACTTGAAGATAAGTGTCTTAGAATTAATAAATAATACTACAAATAATAGTTTTCTATGTATTAAACAACCACACTTGTGGAAGTAGAAAAATGAAAAGAAAAAAAAAACTGAATAGAAGTTTTTTTCACCAGTGTCCCTCTGAGATGCTCGCCATCAACAATCCCCATTCGGTATTGATTCCAACACCATTTACCTACAAATACCCAAAAAGGTGAAGCAACTTGGTGGTACTGAACTGCACCACAAAATTGTACATTAACCACACATACATTAGCAAGAATTTCAACATTTGGTTTAATTCTTGGCATTAGATCAAATATGTCAGACTCAAACCATTGTGATTGGTGGAGTGGTTCAAATGCAATTTATTGCACACAACAGAAAGTATGCATCCATTAAATCACTGTAAAAAAGGTGTCTCAACATTAAAATTATTGAAGATAGAGGGTAAGCTTTTCACATATAAAGAGGACTTGTGGGACACCCATAACCAATAATTTTTTCCACTAAAATGTCATCTGATAAACCTTTTATCCAATTTAAAAAAAAAAGATACGAAACAGAAACAACCATCTATTGGGGCACTGAAAAATTTTAAACTCATAAATGGAAACTTGGCATCAAGTCCCAAACTAAGTGAGATAATGTACAAACAAAAAGACACCTCACTGACATTAACTGGTTTTTGTTTATTGATCAATATAAACTGAATTTTCCAGTAAAAAAATTTGATTGAGAAAATGACCAAAAATGGAATAATTAGGTAACAATACTTAAAACCTGATCAACATTCAAGAAAAAGGTGTGTGAGAGAGTGAGAAAGTCGAACTGAAATAGTGTGCATGAGATTCCCATAGTGCCTTTGTAATCGTATCACCCATAGAGCTACTGAAATGAAACCAACAAATGTGAAATTAAAATATGAACTTGATGAATTGAATAGATATATATATATATATATATATACAATCTGATATTTCTGGTCAAGAGTATAAAAGATAAAAGCCTACTGTAAAATGAAAACAATTGTAATCTACAAACTTAAGGGTGCAATTGTAAAACCAAAACAATTGTATGCTATTAAAAGGTATTGTCGATCACTGAAAACTACATGCTTCACAATCATTTTAAGGACCTTAATAACAGTCATTTTATCAAACAGTTAGTAGGCATATTTGTCAAACGGAGCCATCAAACATGCTTACTTCGACCTTCAGCTGGTTCCATTCACGTATAATATAAGATGGAAAATTATACCATTCCCTGGGACGATTACAACCAGAGCTGATTTATAGTTGCATATGCTTCCTTGTAGACCATGCCTGCAGCTGGTTCCTTGATTAGGTGGTTGACAATGCGCTCGAGTAATGGAGCGCCAGAGAAGGGCAGATAAAGCAAATCCACCCGTTTCACATCTCTGAAGAACTCACCAAGAAACCCTAGAAATTCCTTCCAAGCAAATCCAAAAACTGAACATGAGTACCTGAATTGAATAAAAATTAAAATACAATCAACTGTTAACCATTTTTTCTCAATAAAAAATAAAAATAAAACCTTCAAAACACCCAAACGATCCCAAATTCTCAAATCCGTTAAAAGAAACTTACCATGAAATCACAGCATCTTCACAAATCATCTTCATATCTGCACCAAAAATAACGAAAAAGAAGTGCAATCAGCCCAAGAAACAAAAGATCAGTAGAAACAAACCAAGAAAATCAAGTACCGGAGAAAATTTTCCATCAGCATTTCTCCTTTTTATCAGAGGACTCGAGCTGGGCTCTGAGAGAGAAGTCGAGATGTTTCTGGAAGCAAATGAAAAAAGGCCAGCTTTTCCGTCCTTCTCCTCAAGATTACGAACACGTGTACATCCCCCAACACGTGTAAATCAGGAGTAGCGCCAGAGAGAGGCACCAACTGAGATTTTGACAGAAATGAAATAATATATAATAAAACAAAGGACTATGGAATGGTGCTTCAGCATCAGCACTCTGCGATAGAAAATAATATAAAAAATTTAAAAAAAAAGAGTAAAGAGCAGCTTTTGCTTGTGAAAGTTGATGCTTTTGATTTTAATTTGGTTATGAGCCCAAGTCTTTTAATTTTGGAGTTTTAACGAAAACTTCATGGGAGTGTTCATTTTAACAAAAAATCATATTTTTATATTAAAAAGTCAAATCTGATACTATTCACTTTACATTTTATTTTGTCCTTATCATTAAAACTCAAAGTTTTCAAACCATTTTTATTAGTTTTCCTTTTTAATTTTGCATTCACCGTCAGATTTGTCAATTTTCCCTCCAAATTGAGCGTTATTTTTCACTTATTCAAGTGTGGCCGAAGGCTCAAAAGAAAAGATTATCAACTTGAAGGTAGATCTGTAAATGGGTCAGATTTATCGGATTTAGATTAGATTTAATCTGACATGTTAAGCTAACGGGTCATTCGAATCCAACTCGTTTCACCTGTTAACAATTATTATTATTTTTATTTATTTTTTGCATAGAATTTATTTTTTGTTGTTAAGACTTTACTGAAATTATTAAAACATCATCAACTAACGGGTACTAACGAGTCTAACGGGTTGATCCAAAATGACACGTTATTTAACGAGTTTTTAACGGATTTACCCATTAACCACCCGACCCGTTAAGCATCCACTCAAATATTAATATTAACAGGTCGGATCCAAAATGTCAGGTTTACTTGAAGGTAGGGAGCAAATTGATACCTTACGTGCACCAAAAAAGATTATCAAATTGACGGTAGGGAGCAAAAAATTTCAAACTGAAACTTGGGTGGTATGCCGAATGTCATTATATAATTAGAAAGAAGAATTTTTTTAGCGTCTCTTCAATGTATAATAACATATGATCTATAGTCCCGTGTATTTGTCACACCGAAAATTTTCTCCTAGAGAAGGGACCCAAAAAAAAATTTAGAGAGGAAAAAAATTGCCAATTTTAAAAGGGCATAAAAGAGTTTTCAACAAATCTAACCCGAGGAAAGCACGGGCGCCGATAATAGACCTCTCTTTGCATCGTGAGCAACTCACGGTACGCGACCTTCGAACCGCGAGCAACAACCACGGCCCCGCGACCTCCGCCAGCAAAGCCAGCAAAGCCGGCACCGACTCAGCTAACGCCGGTTAGACATCCGTTCTTTTCTGGTGCTAGTAAATCTGCCGCCTCTTTATTTCTCCAATTTTTCATGGTCTTTCTTTGATTTGCTTTTCTGCTTATTCCCCTTGATCTTTGAACCCATTTCTTATCTGTTTAACTTCACAAAAATTTTTGAATTTATGAAATTTATTTGTTCACTTAACTATTTATTGATTTGAATTTATGAAATTCTGTGACTTTTATGTAATTTTGCTTTGAATTGTTTATGATTCAATGAAAACTTCTGATGCGTTTGTGATGAACAATCTTATCTCACTAAGTAAGGTCAGCTATATAAATACTAGAATATGCGCTCGATTTTGGACCAAGTCTTCCGTTAGCTCCAAGTACTCCATAGTTTTTGATATGTTTGTGATAATGCATAATACTCTGAATAATGCTTGTGTTTTTTCATGCTAGAGTTGCTAATCGTATGCGAAATGCACTTTGTTCTTGATGGTTCCGCGTACTATTCAGATGCTATCGAAACTCTGGGGATGAATACTAATTTGTTATGAATAGATGGTTATTTTCTTATCATTGGATATGAATAGGAAGAAAAATTAGCTTACTTGTTGTCGATTTTCGCACTGTGACAGACGAAATCAAATCATCCATGAAACTTATGCTATAGGTTACTTGATCCTTTTTTTTTTTTTTTTCGTTAAAGTCCAATTCAAAAGAAAACACCTTGATCTCAGAAAGTAATCATGTTTCCTTTTGTTTTACAAGTTGATTGGAGTCTCATTTTCGATTTTTTTCAAACTTTTTGTAACAGGAATTTTTTTATGACGGTTACCTGTTACATCCTGCATCGTCTACTAGTTGGGACTTGGTTTGGATGACAGGATTTTGAACATCGACCGCAGATAATACACACTTCAGAAGGCCTCTTCGTAGTCCCAAATTAATTGTAGTTTTCCTGTTTGATAGACCCCATTGATGTCTATCAGAAAGCCTCCGCTTCCCCGTCTCCTTCTCAACAATGTCTCTTGCATGAGGAATGCCCAACAAATCTTGAGACACGTAAATGCCTCGGTTCACGATGGCGGAGCACTTGTGCTGATGGGCACTAATGGCTCGGGCAAGACTACCTTCCTGCATATGTTAGCAGGATTTTCTCGTCCTTCTGCTGGTCAGGTCCTGTGGAACGGGCACGACATCACTGACTCAGGAGTTTTCCACCAGTACAAGCTTCAACTTAACTGGCTCTCCCTTAAAGATGCAGTGAAAGAGAAGTTCACAGTTCTCGACAATGTTCAGTGGTTTGAGGTTCTCGAAGGCAAGGAAGGGAATTCACTGCCGGCTTTGGAGCTGATGGGGCTCGGGAGACTGGCAAAGGACAAAGCGAGAATGCTGTCAATGGGGCAGCGGAAAAGGCTGCAGCTCGCAAGGCTTCTGGCAATCGATAGGCCAATTTGGTTGCTTGATGAGCCTTCGGTTGCATTGGACACTGAAGGGACAAAGCTGCTCGAGTATATCATCGCGGAGCATAGGAAGAAAGGTGGAATTGTGATTGTGGCAACACATCTGCCAATTGACATTGAAGATGCGACGTATTTGAGGCTGCCTCCGAGGTTCCCGAGGAGGATGACTCTCGTAGACATGCTCGATCGTTCGGATTTTTGAATTTATACCTATTTCTTTGTCATTGAAAAATGCAAGTATGCAACTATTTTACATGTTTGTTATTCATGCTGTGAACGTTTGATTTGCTTATCAATTTTTTTATGGCTGCTATTGTTTTCAGTCCAGCCAAATTGCATAAGCATACGAAATTAACGGAAAATTGGAGAGATTTTTCTGAAGTGTCGGGTATTTAAGCGGTACTTCATATCATTATACAAGTGAAGGGAATTATATATTTTTTTGTGTCTCTCCATTTATATTAAGGAAAACTAATGAAAATGTTGGAAAACTGTGAGTTTTAACGATAAGGACAAAATAAAAGGTAAAGTGAATAGTATAAGGATTGATTTTTTAGTGTAAAAATGTGGTTTTTCGTTAAAATGAACGGTACCAGAAACTTTTCGTTAAAATTCTCCTTATATTGTGATAGGTGGAGTGCCCCAGTTGAATACCGGACACCTATTTCTCCAGAAATTGAGGATATTTACATGAATTAAAGTTTAGGGAGATTCAATGCAAATTGATAAGGCCAAAGACAAAGGAAACAAAAAGAGATTCTCCCTAAATCTTTGTGTCTGGAGTTCAAGAATCTCAAAATTAGGGCTGTTCAAGAGAAAGAAAGAGATCTTAGCCGTTCAAATTTTTCGAATTATGTGAGATGAGCTAGTGTGATTGGCCAATAGAAATCGTTGAATGAAAATTGAGTGATTAAAATCTCTCAATCCACGTATTCTCGACACAAAAATCCAAAATTGATCTCAATTCAGTGCTTTGTTGATTGTTGGCCTCGGTGTAAGCTTTACTTGTATCTCTATAGCATCTTTGCCCTGGTAATATACTTCTAGTTTCCCAAAAAAACAAGGAGTGTGGTCATTCACATTCCCATAATACCCCCATCTTTCCAAGATATAACCGTCGGGTCCTATAGTGTTCCGCGATACGAGATTGACCAAAATACCCTCACTCGGTTCAGTATAAAAGAGGGGCTTAGGCCGTAGCGTCTAGGGTTTAAAGGCTCATTAGTTTAAGAATGAGGCTCTGCTCTCAGAGAGGCCGTTCCGGGTGTCCCTGAGGGTGGTTGCCGCCCTCTCTGAATGGCGGCGGAGCCGATGATTTCACCACACCCGACCTTATGTTACTAGCACCCAAACAACCCTCTCCGCTCCTCCTTCCTCTTCTTCTTCGTATTCATTATCAACATCATCATCATCAAATTTTCTGCTTCTGTTTCTGTCTCTCTGTCTCTCTCTCTCTCTCTCTCTCTCTCAGAACGAGGCGGTGATGATACTTTTAGTGTCTGTAAAACCAGGCGGCGGGAATGCGGAACCGGTTTCCTTGGCGGGGCGACCCGGTTGCTCTGTTTGGCGGAGGAAATGACTGTAATTGTCCTTTCATCCGCCGGCAGCTGCCGTATTCGCAGCCATGGAACGCTGCGTTTCCTTCCCTCTTTTGTCTGAACAAAGGCGAATCTGAGCCTCGTCCTCCCCCTTTCTTAAATTTCTTCCTTTTTCTTTTTTTTTGCTGAATTTCCATATTTTCTTTGAATAATAATAAAAATATTTCTTCCCGTTTCTTTTTTTAAAAAAAAAAACATTACAACAACAAAGTCTTTATTTTTATAACGTTATTGAGCTTGATTTTGACTTGAATATCCTTAAAAGTTATGTTAATCTCCTACATTAAAAATTTAGAGTTAAAAAAAACAATCATCGAACTTGAACGTACCTTCAAATTAAATAAGTTGATCTTAATTAGTGATAAAACTGTGATTAGTACTAAATTATGGGACATGATTGATCAAACAAATCGATCGAATTCGAATTTTAGAGATTTTTCAATCGAAATCGGTTCGAGTTGATTGATGACTAGTGGGAAAAAAATTGAATGAAAATGTAGGGTGAACAAAATACAATGAAGAATCAAAACAATTAACCAGTCGGAAATAAATCTGTCTAATTTTCCAATATTTACTATACTGTATGAGATGATGTTATGTGTATAACGCTCGCGTAATATTAGATTAATTCTCAGAAGCACTTAATTCGCCAGCAAAAGCACCGTTACAGCAACTAGAGAAGCACAGCAACTGGCCCCATTCGCAAAAGCACTTGACTTTTCATCAGAAGGTGCAGGAGCAGGTGGAGATTTGGAGCCTGCATCAGATGAACCCGAGTTGGAGCCGGAGCCGGGGCTGGAGCTGGAGTCGTTCTTCTTCGCCACTCCGGGGAGCGGTGGGTCAACCACATTCGAGACCTGAAGAGCCGGGCTCGGGGCTTCCGCCGGAGACAATGCCTCGGGGCCGATCAGACCCGACAGTGCACCTGGTTCAACTGGCAAGATTGGATACGGGACGTTGGCCTTGGGGTCCGTATCACTGCATGGGGATCCTGCAAATTCATGTCGAAAATTGTTGTGAGCGGTTTTTGTAACTCGGTTTGTCTAGGTTCCTTTAACGCATACTGAATACGAACACCTACAAACGACTCATTAGAACCGTTCATATGGCACGACACCAGTCAATAGGCCTCGATGTTATTTTCAGGTGTTCGTATTCAGTAGGTTAAAATTCCGTACTTACTCATATATTTGCTGGCAGTTCCGGGGAAATCGGTGACAATGCCATCAACCTTGAACCCTTGAGCGTATGAAGCAATCTCAGTGATGGGGTCTGAGAAATAATCGAACATGAGACTGACGAACTCGTTCCTCAGCCAGTGGGCGTACACAGTGATGTTCGCGGCCTTCATTTCCTTGACGACGTTGGTCGTGCCAGAAATGAAGTAATCGGTGATCTTGACGATCGAATCCTTGGTGATGGTTACTGCATCTGCGTACTTCTTGATCTCCGCCACAGATTCCTTGGTTGCTTCGCTTATCTTCTCCTTGATGTTGAGCACTCGCTTGTAGTTTTTCGCGTCTTTAAACTTGGCCAGCACGGAAGTGTCATCCGACTCGATCAACACTTGCTGAGTGGATTGCTTGTCGAATGTGGCATTGCTCAAGGCAGAGGATACAGTTCCCACAACGTCTAGTCCTGCCTTTGATGCTAGGTATGCAGCATACTGAGAATATATTCGTGTGTCATCAGTTTTTGCGCACAAACGATAAATTTAGGAAGAGTTTGGGCATCGAAAGTAGAAAACGAATGAAATTTCTGGAAATAAATGTTACCTCAATGTTGATCAAAATTCCAGTAACTGCATTTTTCTTTGCAAACTCCAGGAATTCATTGAGGGTCACCAGTTTGCCCGCGTCCTTGTTAGCCGGATTTCTGACTATTTTTTCCTTGGTTCCGTAGGGGCTCTGCATTTGTGCTGAAATAAATAGACAAGTTGAAAAGCCATTAGTACACTTAAGCGGCTGGTCGCTAAATTCGTTTGGATTCTTCAGCGTATATCTGACCATTAAATTTAGTAATGTAGGACGTACTCTGAAGTCTCGTAATTTCACAAGCTTAGTATTTACTAGCACGTAGCAATAACAAATTTTGAGTTATAGATGCTTACGTTTCAAGCTCTTAATATCGCTCCACGAGAGTTGGAAGGAGAAGACTCCGGCTTCTGCTTGAAGTTCGGGGATGGTCTCACTCTTGGTCATGAATTGGCTCAATGCGTTAGTGCCCGAGTTGAGGTCTGGAGTGTCTAAGCAGAAGGCAACACCATCACTTGACATTTGAACCGAGCAATCGATTATGTCAGCCCCATCCTCTACTGCCTGCTTGTAAGCAAGGTCTGTGCAGCCGGGATAGATTCCACTAGCTCCATTTCTAGTTATGATCAAAGGAAATCCTGCAAGTTCGAAAATTTTCTCAGGAACTTCTTAACAACCACATCACGCGATTCACAATACAGCCCGTCATTTATATTAAGCTAGTAGAATCTAATTAATTACCTGTCTTAGGCTTGGTTTCGTTCTTGTTCTGCGTAAAGCACGCTGCAGAATGAAAGCATTGGCAGGTTAACTAGGTTATAAATCAAACATTTGCTTGTAAAATTACGAATGTCTGATATGATATCTCACCGATTGCTTCTGATGCTGTAGGAGGGAAATCGGTCAGCACACCATCAACAGAAAACTGAGAGTTATCGACAAACTGCAGGTACTCAGCTGTGGGATCAAAACTGTAGTTATAAGGGAGAATAACATCATTGGCAAAACCGGAAGCATGCACTTCTAGGCCTTCTTTGTGAGCATCATTCACGAGTGTCGTGGCTTTCTCCACGTAATTGTTTTTGTTTACAGGCCATATGTATTCTTTTGGTACAAGGATTCCGGCTGCAACTGACTTGATCATTCCGAGCTGCTTCACCAGCGCACTGTACTTTTGCTTGGTTGTCGGTTCTGTTTCTTCGGGGTCAAGGAACTGGAAGATGAGCTTTGTCCTCATTTTGTTCACTTTTCCACCGATGGCTTTCAAGAATCCGATCTCAGGAGATGAGATGTAAGGTATAGGTGCAAATTTGGCTGCCTTTTCGACAAATGATGCCATGCTGATCTTGTGTTCGTTGTAAAATGCATCATACTGCACGAGACACAGAGCAAACAGAACACCGAAAATAATGATTCGTAACTAGTGCAGAACTTAGCTCTACAAACTAACCAAATGACAGTATAGATCAAGCGAGATACCGGCACATTCAACCAAAATTTATCTGGCTTAGCTCCCAAAGCATCTTCGACAGTAGCGATTGGCAAAATACCATCGAACTGACTTGGTCGCGAATAAATGTTTTGAGTCACTGCAAAAGGAATTGAAGAACATAAAATTAAAAACAACAAAGCATGATTAGTCCTTAAACCACAAAGTCTTCGTTTCAAGGACTTACGTGACACATTGTTTAACACCTGATCAGCTGTGAAATCCAACGCAAACCAGCCGCGAATATCCTTCCCGTTCACATTGTAAGTTTTTTGGCCCTTAGGGTAGAACATAGATATAGTTGTTGTATTATCAAGCAGAATGTTCGACAGGCATATTCCGACGCTATCCTTCGTTAACTGCAGATTGCAGAAGAAGGCAGAGCCCTGCAAACTCAGGGTCTTTGCCATATTATTCGCGTAGGTGCTGGCTTCCGGGAACAGCCCTGAAAGCCCGCCGCGCGCTATAACAAGAGGCTGTTGACCTGCAAATGTTGAACAAAAAATAGCTTTTTCTGTTCTTATCTGTTACAATCTTGTTTTGTTAACAAGAATATTGAACTTGGTTTCTTGAGATGTTGAATTCCTAAGGTCCAAATTGTAACCGAAAAATTGTTATTACCGGTTAAAGTCTGCCATTTTTTCGAGGGAGGCCCCTGAGCCTGAGGTGCTGCTTTCTGTCCTTCACTTGGTGGTTTTGCTGCCAAAGACGAGTGGATCAACAGGGAAACGAAAAGCAAACACCTGATCATGTCTTTCAACCTGTCGCCGATTTAAAAAAAATGTATCGATAACATGTCCGTACTTGTTCACATCCGAACTAATGCGCTACAATGTTCACATTTTTCATATAATTATCATTAATCGGACAAAAACACTATTTGATTCAAAATTATCTCCAAAATCATCGATTTACATTCCAAAATGTGATCCTCCGTATGGGGATTGATCGAATCATCAAACAAATGATCCATTCTAAACATAAAAAGCATTGGAAAAAAAACGAATAGAACTTACTCGTAGAGGAATCAAACACTCCCCGTCAAGCTTGTGCAAAACTTTCGAGGGAATGCGGTGGAAGAGATAAAAGAAGGGGGGTAGAAAAGTGAGAGGTTATGAATTAAATTTACACCAAATTTACCTGCAAAAAATTTACCCCCAAATAGGTTTTTCGGTTTCCTTTTTTACCATTTACTTTGCACACATTTCTCGCATTAATACCAGCCCAGGAATCACTATTAAAGGAGAAGCCAGTTTTTTTAGTTTTTGGTCAAACTCTGTATTTACTATTTTTGGAGAGTGTTTGAGTTGGATCGCTGTAATTTTTGTTTCGTGGGAAGCAAGGCATCTGTATTCTTTCACTTTGAAGTTTCAACAGTTTTTTAAAACCCCTATATTTCTAAATTTAGACGGTTCTGGAATCCACATGGTATTAGACGTGTGAACCGAAGATGTATAGATCCCCGATTAGAAAGTGTGAGCATGAGACATAGGCTTAGGGTAAAAGGGGTAGAGGAAGACTTAGGAAGATTTGGAAATATACTTTAAAAAAAGACATGGAGTACTTGGAGCTTCGCACTGACGTACTATGATTCATACAATTGACCCGTCCTCACTTAATGAGATAAAACTTTGTTGTTGTTGTAGACGTTTCTCAAATCATTCATTTCGATATTTTTATTAATTGAAAGCTAATGACATAATAATGCTCAAGGCTTAAAGGCTTTGAGTTTAACACAAGTAATCTTCATATAACACTTTACTTTCATAACTATCTCATCACGTGAGCCACACGTAATTAACCAGCTAATACGAAAGATAAGATGTATTATATTTTATAAGCGAACAGTAATTTTGCTACTCATAACACCAAATATAACCATTAGTCAAATTCAAGTACTTAATGAAGGGGGCTTCGAATTTTTGTTCTTTAGAACATGTCACCGTGGTAGCTTGGTCAAGTTTGTAACTTATGCTAAGTATAAGTACGCACATGAATCTCATTATTTAAACAGATCATTGTAAAGTTGCAAGGATTTCCAATTTTTACTAAAAAAATAGATAGAAAACTACAAACGTGGGTTATATCAGTTAATGGTAAAGAACTCTTTTTATTTATTTGTTTTGAAAAATAGAAAAAATAATAAATTAATAATGGGCTTTCATTTTTTTTTTTTGTGTTGAAAAAAACCTTCAAAATGTCCTAAATTTATTTTAGGAAACATGTGGTACAACAAGAAAACTCAAGTTTTGGCTTATACTGAATCTTGTAAAAATTTCCAAAATCAATTTGAAAACGTGGGTTATATAACTCACAGTTTTTGTGAAAAAAAAAATGAATTTTGTTTAGGAAATATTTTGCTTGAGAGTTAAGGAAAATGTTTGCAAGACCTTTGGATGTGATCCTACTATTTATTAGGTCCATAAACTACTTTTAATTTTGAAACAGAAACACAAAATAGTGGGCCCCAAAAAAAAATTTATGTGTCGAAAATCTTCGGAATGTCCTAAATTAATTTTAAGAAACATGTGATGTGACGAGATGACTCAAATTTTCACTTATAATTAATCTTGTAAAAATTTCCCAAAGTCGATTACAAAATGTGGATTATAACTCACATTTTTTTTGTAAAAAAAAAAAAGAAATTTTTAGTTTTCAGAAATATTTTGCTTGAGAACGAAAGAAAATGTTGCAAGACATTTGGATGTGATCCTACCATTTATTAGGTCATGAAACTATTTTTTATTGTTTTTTAAAGTTGTAAAATAGAAAGATAATATAAATTAATAGAGGGCCCCAAGTATTTTTTATATTTTTTGGGGCAAAAATCTTTGGAATTTCCTAAGTTAATTTTAGGAAACATGTGGTGCGACTAGAATGACTTGAATTTTCACTTATAATTAATCTTGTACAAATTCTCAAAATCGATTTTAAAACCTAGGTTACAGTTTTTGTGAAAGAATTAAAATTTTTAGTTTTAAGAAATATTTTGCATGGAAGCTAATATGTTGCAAGACCTTTAGGTAAGATCCTTAAGTAACTATAAATGTTACACGATACTTGTACCTCAAGTAGTTAACAACATTTATCTACGTAGTGAATGTCTTGTTTTTCCGCTGCTTTAAAATAAAATTTCCTCATAATGTCGTACTTCAATATTTTTATTATTGTTATTATTTTGGGAAAGCATAAGTAATTAATTTTGTATGCCATAGAAAAAGAATAAGGAATTTTGATTTAAAGGCAGTCGGTCCAAATTTGATTTCGATATATATATATTTTAGAGTAAACTGCCGATTTGCCCCCTGAACTATCACCCAACTTTCGATTTGCCCCCTGAACTTTTTGATTAGAAAATTAAGGACTTAAACTAATTTTTTTTTGCCAATTTCCCCCCTACCGTTAGTTTTTCATAAATTTCATCCAAATTAACGTTAACTCTTATCATGTGCAAACCACGTAACTCTCATTTGTGGACAAAAGCGTCATTTCACTAGACCTTCAGACAGAAAAGCTATAGAATCACACATATTTGCATAGGTTTATATTTTAGAAATCTAAAGTTTTCAATTATTTTAAAGAATGAAGTGACTGAACTACCCACACATGTTGTGCATATGCTTCCATTTAACAGAAATTTGGATGAAATGAATGAAAAATTAACAGCAGGGGGCAAATTGGCCAAAAAAATTAGTTTAAGTCCTTAATTTTCCAATTAAAAAGTTCAGGGGGCAAATCGAAAGTTGGGTGATAGTTCAGGGGGCAAATCGGCAGTTTACTCTATATTTTATTTTTTTTGAAGGAATTTTGATTTAATGGTGGAGGGAACAAAGCAAGTGCACAATATCGCAAGGATCTTAAACCGCACGAGATCCCACCCCACCCGCCAATTGGCAGAACACAATTCTTACTCTCGCTTTCTTCACCTCTCCACGATCTCAATCTTCAAATCCCCAAATCTCTAGATCCCTAAATCGAACAACAGCCCACAGATTAGATCTTGCCGACAGAAAAATCAGACAAGGAAGATGAAGATCACGGCTTTGCTGGTCCTCAAGTGCAATCCAGACGAATCCGACCCCATCATCTTGGCCAACGCCTCCGATACCAGTCACTTCGGCTACTTCCAGAGGTCCAGCGTCAAGGAGTTCATCGTCTTCGTCGGTCGCACCGTCGCCAGACGCACCCCGCCTGGCCAACGCCAGTCCGTCAAGCACGAAGGTCCGTTCTTGACACCCCCAATTTTCAGGGACCCCTTTTTTCATTAGTTTTTGTTTCAACTACAATTGTTCATTGCGATTTTATGAATTCATGAAATTTGGGATTTGTGGCTCATGAATTTGGTTGGAACTTCAAAAAAATTCCTTTTTTCTGTTAGCTTTTGTGGGAATTCTAGAAATTTGAAGCTTCAGTTGGTATTTCGATGCCTAGATTTCCTTGGGCATCAGATGCAATATCGATGCCCGAGTTTGCGGTATGCTTTTACAAGAAACTTCTGTCAATTCGGCACAGATTGTGTAGCTCACAGGTTTAACGTTTATGTTTGCAAATGTAAGCATTTCAACATGCTTATATGGAACCTGAATTTCTTGTTTTTTGTTTCTTCAGAGTATAAAGTACATGCTTACAACAGCAATGGTCTCTGTGCGCTGGGCTTTATGGATGATCACTATCCCGTTCGAAGTGCATTTTCTCTGCTCAACCAGGTAACACAATGTTCATTTAATCATTGCATTTCACTGTTCTGGCCAATATTTAGTTATGTACCTTCATTTGCCATGCCTTGCTTCCCAGGTTACTAGTTACCTAAGATTTCCTTGGTAGTTTGGACTATGTTATGTGAGATATGATTCACGTTGTAGGAATGTTAGTGTCGTGTGATTAGGTATATCGGAGTGGCTTCTAGTAGATGGAATTACTAAAATGCTAGCATTGGTTGACATTGGCGAATTATCTGCTAATTTCAATCATGTCTTCCATCGTCTTCACCGCTAACCAATTATTGAAGCTACCGGTTTCGCATTATCATAGTTTGGCGATTGATAGTTTTGTCAGCTCAAGTGGCCCCTTTAGCGAGAATTTTAGATCCAATTGGCGTTGAATTGTTTGTGTCGGAGGTTCTTGCATAGTTGCATACTTTGTTTCATGGACTACTAATATGGTGCTCCTTGCTTGTGTTATCAAATAAGTGATTGATTGGTATGATTTTCAGGTGCTAGATGAATATCAGAAAAAATTTGGTGATTCTTGGAGGACTGCAAAACAGGATGGCACACAACCATGGCCTTATTTGAGTGAGGCTCTGACGAAATTCCAGGTGTGCCTGTTAATCTGTTTTCTACCTCGTTTGTTTAGCTCGACTCATAAGGGAACAGATGGGTTAATCAAGACTATGTTTTCTGTTCTTACGAAACAGATAAGTTTTATAGAGTTATAACTGAAGCTACTTTCTTCTTTCTTACTATATTTTCAAATTTCAGGATCCTGCAGAGGCTGATAAGTTGTTGAAAATACAAAGGGAATTGGATGAAACAAAAATTATCCTTGTGAGTATAATGCCTTACTTCAGTTAGATTTTGATCAACGTATTGTTGTGGCTCATTTTTATATGATCTTTTTATTAGTAGATTATGTACATCTGTCTGTCGTACATCTTTATTTTATTTTAAATATTTATTTAATGTGGACCTCCAATTTGACATGTTTACCTATGAATAGTAATGGCTAAAATAAATCTTCAACTTAATGTCATATATGCTGAATTCTTTGCCTGAAATAAGTTGTAGATATCTTTAATGATATAATCTTTATGTGCAATATCCCAGTTCATATTGGTCACCTCCTACATTTCTCACCCGCTTATTTTTTTGTTTATTTCCTTGGTACAGCATAAGACTATTGATAGTGTGCTTGCACGAGGTGAGAGACTGGACAGTTTAGTTGAGAAGAGTTCAGATCTTAGTGCAGCATCGCAGGTACATACATAAAACTCTTGTGATACATTTACACGTTTGCCGTTGCACACACTCATATAGTATATATCAGCTGATGTCATGTTAATTACCTATAATTTCAAGTGTGACGTCAAGGGCTGCATTCGAGCATCAAGGTCTAAGTTTATATTAGTGTGATCATAAATTTTTTTTTTTGGCAATCTCTTTTACATATCATCGCTGATTGCACTGTACCAAAGATATTAGGGTTGTATTTCAAGTTGTGTGTATGGATTATTGAGAATTTTTTCGCCTTTTGTTTTAAATACTTGGCGGAAGGGATGGACATTCCTCCTGCAAATAAAAATATGCTAAAACACACTATATCTGCCCCGTTGAAGTTTGGAAAGTTCAATGGGCCAACCAGTGTTTAAATACCTTTAGTTCGTTTCTAATGTGACTACATGACGACGGTGTTTGTGTGAAACAGATGTTCTACAAGCAGGCAAAAAAGACCAATCAGTGTTGTACCATATTGTAAGCTTGTAATGCGAGCAGCAATCCTGTAATGTCGAAGTTGATGGATGACAATGTGATGATTGTAATATGTTGATGTCATTTGTCAGTCGTTTGCTTGGCAGAATTGTGTGAAGTTCCCTCGTTTCTTCCGTCTCAAAGAAACGGAAACCAAATATTCGTAGAGGTCCCCTGCTATTATAGTACGTTACTGTCTCTGTTTCGTAACATGATTTTACGCCTCCGCTTACATGTACGTGATATTCGCATTATGATTTATGAAATCTATGTCATTGCTTATTCTTCCGAAGCCGGGTCATCTTTCATCTCTCAGATTGTAGAGCATATGTAGGGAATGTAGAGTTCTATCATATACATGTATGAAAGGTCCATGATTGTTATGCTACCGCCTGATTCGATATGTTTAAGATTTTTTTTTACTCAAATTGCATGAATTCCATCCATTTTGTGAGCGGGAAATGATTTCCGTACATCATTGTTCTTGTACTCTTCCTTTTATATTGTACCTCGATTTCCTTTGGTTTAATCCAAGGACCAGAGTGAAACAGGGCTGTGCGTGAAATCACTACACTTTGCCTGTTCAACTTTAATTGAACATCCAAGACACCAACTGGTGCCATCTCGCAATAAAGAAACACGTTAATGTCGCTAAATGATACGTGACAAGTGAGAGTGCATGCTTGCATGGATATACAACCGGTGACATGCAAGAATCTCCATGTGATGAGGGACCGAGAAGGTTGCAGCTGTTACACGCAAGTTTCTCTTGACAAAGATAGAGAAGGTTGCACCCGTTACATGCAAGTTTCTCGACCTCCGTAGAACCCTGGCGATGTTGACACGGTCCACATCCGGTCAATTCAACAGTGGTCGTTGAAGACATTTTCTACTAACAAATCATCTCAAAATTCACACGCACACAATGCATAATAAAACCAACCTGAAGGAAACTTTAGTGCTTAATAACAGTACAAGAACATAATTAACAAAACGACGTCGCTGCTAGAGTAAATCCGTCTACATGTTGCAAACGGGGTCTTAAATGTTTCTTATTTCAAATACACACAGACATCTCAAAACCCCCATACACGTTACTTCTACCGGAGTGGTACTGGTGTTGTCGGATTTTCTCTATCTTCCGAGGATGGATTTGAACCACCAGATGCCCTTGGTGTCTTTGGGGCCTTCTTCCGACTCCGGCGGAGTCTCGCTCTGCGGCGTCTTGTGGAGTTTGCTCACGTCGTAACCCTCGTCCACCGCCCTCTGAACCAGCTGGTTGTATATTTCTTCATCCAGATGAGGCTGCCTGCTCAATATCTGCATCCAATTCCCCCACCCCCCACCAAAAATAACAATCAAATTTTTACATACGGACTAGACAAAGCACAACAAAAATAAAAAAAAAGTGTACTACGTGCAAATAGAACCGATTACAAACTTTTAAATCATTAATATAACCGGAGAAACTATGAGGACAACATAACGGACTCTTAATTTGATTAAAATTTTGTAACCGGTTCTATATGTGCGTATTTTTCCAACACGCGGCAAACACAACCGAAAGTAACATGCGCTTATTGAACCGGTTACAAACTTTTAATCAACTTTTCATACGAATTACTAACTTTAATCAAATTTTAAACACGAATATAAACATAGATCATCAACAGTAACCGAACGTTCTCATTTTCTATTTGTAATAAGTTCTATTTGCGCTATTTTCAAACCAACAACACTAAATTTATCAAAAATCAACAAAAAGTAGAATAAATTAATTATAAATGGCTACTCAACAAGGCTTTTCGCTCTGCGAGAAAACGTCTAACATACGCAACTTTATTTTGCTTTGTAAAAAGATTGTTTTCACAACTTGAACAGTGATCTTTAGGTCACATAATATACTAAATTTTAATGCTAAATTTAAACGTAAATACGAAATGCATACATACCCAAAGGTAATTCCTGCTAGGTTGGCCAATCAGCGCATACTGATAATCCTCATCGATGAACAAAACCCAGTAATCCCCAACGACAGGGATGATCGGCAGAAATGGAGGCACATAAAACTTCACCTTCAGCTTCGCCTCGTCGCTCGCCGGGTCAGCCTTGTAGGCGGTGCCCTCGATGAACCCCCTCTTCCCATCGGTCCAAGTCTCGTTCAAAACATTCACGGTGGCGCCGTCTTCCTTCAGAGTGTACGTCGCCCGCGTGTTCTCGCCGCTCTTGGGCTGAAACCGCGACGGAAAGGAGGCAATCTCGTACCACCGTCCCATGTAGCGCTGCACATCCAGGCCCTTCACGACTTCCATCTCCTTCTTCGTCGCCATTGTTGCAGATGAAGTGTTTGTGTTTTGGTTTGTGCGAGAGTGTGTGAGGAAATTGGTGCGGGAGTTCGTGAATTTTGGGTGGGGGGTTTTGTGAGGATAAGGTGTGTGGAGGTGGCGGAGTTTTAATGGGTTTTTTGCTTCGAGCAAAAGGTAAAGTGAAAGGACGGGGACGCGAGGGGGTTTCTGGGCCTTAGTGTGAATGGTTGAACTTGCCATAAAGGGACGGATCCCTTTCTCGTAATTCAGTTCAGAGATCAGACCATTGAAATTTGATCCAACGGATCAATTTAAAGTTATAATAATTTTAACTGTTAAATTAAATTTCAATAGCCCAGATCCCATATTTAGTGGATTAGGTGAAAGAGATTCGAAGATGATCATTTTCCGAACTTGCCACACATATATGGTAAGGTTTTAGACTCCATGATTTTTTTTTTACAGTTGCATTTGTTTTAGCAAAACTGCTACTTGTATCGTATTTTTCATACTATATTTGTACTACATTTTTAAAACAAATAATATAATTTTCTTTTCTTCAAATTCTCTTTCCTCCCTCCCTCCCTCCTTGGCTGAAGGAAAATTTGGAGGAAGAGAATCCTATGAGACTCACAGGTATCGATAAGTCTTACTTTCCACATGTGTTGGTGAGTCCTACCTCTATTACAGAATTCGAGAAATTACTCTAGCTGCAATTTATGTTAATCGCACTGCTATGTGAGAAACGCATAAATGTTTGTTATTGGTCTAAAATATTGGTATGGTAACATTTGTTGTAGGTATATATCTCTATGTTGCTTTCTCCTTAACTTTTAAAAATTGGTACACTCATTTTTCTTATATTGCACTCTCATGTTTTATATATATCACACTATTTTAAAATTTCAAAGGTGTTTCACCAATTCACAACTAATTACATCGATGTTGTTTTCGAATTAATTATCTGAATGATCAACTTTGTACAAGAAAGTATCGATAAAATTAATAGGATAGCCATTCAATATAATGGACATTTAACTTCATCAGATTTGGGAAATATGATTCAAAACTTTCCAAGTCAATTTTTTTTTGTTTTGATTTGAAGAGGATGGAACCTTAGGGAGGAAGAAAAAGCAAGTTGCGATGATAGCTTGAAACTTGAAAGAAAAGCAAACTTGGTCGGAAGCATTAGGCATGTCACTCCCATTGCCTTGTGAAACCAAGAATTATGTGATCATATATCAAAATCAAGGGTCTACCTGTTAGACCAAGTCAATCTTATCCCAAACTAATCTCTGCAACAAACTCTTCATAGGATAAGATTGCTAGGTCCGGGTTTCAGTTTTGAATAATCCAAAGATAAGTTGTTATGATTTTGTATTTTTGAATTCAAAGTTATCCGTGTAAATAGGGTATTCAAAACCCTACTTGTAATCTGAAAGTATTGTATAAATACACTGCTACCCATCGTTATATGGGTGTGCAATCAAAAGCTGAAAACCCTAGTGCTCTAAGTTTAACATGGTATTGAGCCCTACAGTCTAAACGACAAACGATCCAATTTTTTTTTCCCACCCATTGTCGCTTCCATGGCTGCCACCAACAACACCAACAACACCAACTCCACCACTCACATCAATCCTTCCCCCCTACCCGCTGCTCATTCCTCCATCACCTCTATGACTAGTGTGGTGAATATCAAACTTGACCGCTCGAATTATCCGCTTTGGCTTGCTCAGATTCTGCCTGTTCTCAAGAGCCGTGACCTGATGGGTTACGTTGATGGCTCCATTTTGTGTCCTCCTAAGACTCTGGCTGGCACCACTGACGTTAACCCAGCCTACATGACTTGGATTCAACATGATCAGATGATTCTCAGTTGGATCAACAGCTCTCTCACTGCTTCTGTTTTGTCGACAGTAGCAAGCAAACGCACGTGCCGTGCAACCTGGGAAGCATTGGAACAGCGGTATGCGTCAACTTCCCAGAATCGTATATTGTTTCTGCGTACAGAACTGCTGCAGACGAAGAAAGGTGACCTCTCTGTAGCTGACTACTTGGATCGTATGAATGCGATCGCCGACAACCTTGCTTTGGCCGGACAACCAGTAAGTGATGATGAACTGGTTCAAATTATTTTAAATAACCTTGGTCCTGCGTTCGAGATGACTGTGAATGCAGCACAAGCTCGTGATACTCCAATCACTTATCCAACACTTGAAGCTCTTCTGCTGACAACGGAGAGACGAATGACGGAGCAAGCTGTGGTGACTGAAACTGCTCCGATCAATGCTTTTGTAACGTCACGAGGCCGTGGTGGTCGCTCTCGTGGCAATGGACGTGGAGGCTCTTCGTTCAATCGTGGTGGTGCCATCAACAATGGCAATCAACGAGTTGGTATGCCTCGTAACAACAACAATCCACGTGGTGGTGCGCCTGCAAGTACTGGTGACCGGTGCAACCTTTCTGGAGAACGCATCAAATGCCAAATTTGTGGCAAACCTGGCCATCCGGCTCTGGACTGTTACCAGCGGATGAATACAGCCTATGAAGGACGCATCCCCACCAATCGTCTTGCTGCCATGGCGTCTTCTCAAGTGATGCCTAATAATGGAAATTGGCTTCTTGACACGGGTGCCAATGCTCATGTCACCCCAGACCTTCAGAATCTTGCAAATCCAAAAGAATACACTGGTAATGACAACATTGGTGGAGTAGGTAATGGTTCTCAAATTTCCATTGCACATTCTGGTTCGAATCAAATTTCAACTAAGTCTTGCTCATTTAACCTCCATGACATTTTACATTGTCCATCCGCATCCACTAATATTATTTCGGCACACAGATTCACCCTAGATAACCATTGCTATATACTGATATTTCCTTATTTTTTCCTTGTTAAGGACCTCAAAACCCGGAAGACGCTTTTCCGCGGGAGATGTGAGAATGGATTGTATCCATTTCCTGGTGGCGGTGGATTGTCCAACTATCCTATTTCAGTGTGTGTCGGTGTTAGAGTCTCACCCCAGAAATGGCATTTACGTCTTGGTCATCCTGCTTCGTCAATTATTAAATTTTTGATTGCAAATAACCAAGTACCATCATCTGGTACAAGTACTGTAACGTTTTGTGACTCTTGTCCATTAGGCAAAAGCACTAAACTTCCCTTTACCAAGTCTGTGTCCGTGTCTTATTGTCCATTAGAACTTTTGCATTCAGATGTTTGGAGTTCACCTATTATTTCTAATGAAGGTTTTCGTTATTACGTGTTGTTTGTGGATGACTACTCACGATATTCGTGGATCTTTCCCATGAAAAATAAATCTGAAGTATTTGGAATTTTTGTGACATTTAAAACACATGTTGAAAAAATGTTTAACAAATCTATTAAAGCTCTTCAATGTGATGAAGGTGGTGAATACATGAGTCGCGATTTCAAAACTTTTCTTGCTACACATGGGATTTCCCAACGTTTTTCGTGTCCAAAACATCCTGAACAAAATGGAATTGCCGAGCGAAAGCATCGTCATATAGTTGAAACTAGTGTTACAATGCTTTCTCATGCTCATATGCCTCAAACATTTTGGTTCGATGCATGTTCCACAGCTGTTTATATTATAAACAGGCTTCCAACAAAGGTTTTATCTAACGTGTCTCCCTATGAAAAAGTGTTTCAAAAGAATCCAAAATATGAGGCATTTAAAGTGTTTGGTTCAAAAATGTTTTCCACTGTTGACTCCGTATACACGGCATAAACTTCAACCAAAGTCCAAACCATGTGTTTTTTAGGATATTCACTGAATCATGAAGGATACAAGTGCTTGGACTTATCCACGAGACGCATCTACGTGTCTCGCCATGTTTTATTTGATGAGGATTCCTTTCCTTTCAAGGAACTTGCATCTCCCAAGGAAGCCGTCACTATCACAGGTACATCGTTGACCCCTGATTTGATTTTAACCACTACACCCTCATCACCCTTAGTACCATCCATATCTTCACCAAATCGTGTCGAGTCTCATCCTAGCCTCAACCACCAACCTGAGTCAAACTTGGTGTCTACTGATCAGCCGCATATCACGCCACCTTTTCCTCCCCAACAACCTGTTTCAAATTTGGACCTTACTCCTCATCCACCTATCCCTACCATCCCGTGTTTAAATAGGACACCTCAACCTAGTTCCACATTAGGTCCCACCGATGAGCAAGACTTGGTTCACCTTCCATCTGTACAAAGTTCTCAGAATCCTTCTCATTCAACAACTTTATCTACCACCTCATCTTCCATACGAGAGCCTACTCTCCCCCACTCCATAACAAACAAGGTCAAAATCTGGGATTCAAAAGCCAAATCCAAAATATGCTTTGCATGCAATCGCTGACTCCAAGTTTGTTGAGCCGTCTTGTTTTAGTCAGGCTATCAAATATCCAGAATGGAGGGCAGCAATGGCACAAGAGTTCAGTGCTTTGCAAAGGTGTGGAACGTGGACGCTTGTTCCATATTGTCCTGGGATGAACCTGCTGCCAAACAAATGGGTGTTTTTAAAATCAAGAGACGTGCCGATGGTTCTCTCGAACGTCACAAGGCTCGACTTGTGGCTAACGGTTACCATCAGCAATCCGGAGTGGATTTATAATGAAACGTTTAGTCCGGTCGTGAAACACAGCACCATTCGGCTTGTTTTGAGTCTTGCAGTGTCGAAGAAGTGGACGGTGCGACAGTTGGATGTACAGAATGCATTCTTGCATGGCTATTTGGATGAGGCTGTCTACATGAAACAGCCGCCCGGTTTTCTTGATCAGCAGTATCCCCATTATGTGTGTAAATTGCAGAGAAGTTTGTATGGATTAAAACAGGCTCCCAGAGCCTGGTTTCGAAGATTCTCGGATTATCTGCTTCAACTTGGGTTTGAAGAATCATTATGTGATTATTCATTGTTCGTGTTTAATCAACGAGGTGTTTACTTGATCTTACTTATCTATGTGGATGACATTCTTCTTACAGGCAATAATGATCAACAAATGCAATGGTTGATAGAGAAGCTCGGCACTTTGTTTTCTATGAAGGACTTAGGTCCCTTAAGTTATTTTTTGGGTGTCGAGGTTACTTATTCTGGGGGAGAATATGCATCTTACACAATCCAAGTATGCATTGGATCTGCTGGAGCGCACCAAGTTT